ATTACAATAAAAACGTATCTATACTTTCATTTGAATGTTGTTTTTAACTTTATTCAGGTATTAGAAACGGAGGATGAACATCAGCAGGAGAGGACTCTTTAAAGTAGAGACACTACATACTGATATACACCTGAACATCAGCAGGAGAGGACTCTTTAAAGTAGAGACACTACATACTGATATACACCTGAACATCAGCAGGAGAGGACTCTTTAAAGTAGAGACACTACATACTGATATACACCTGAACATCAGCAGGAGAGGACTCTTTAAAGTAGAGACACTACATACTGATATACACCTGAACATCAGCAGGAGAGGACTCTTTAAAGTAGAGACACTACATACTGATATACACCTGAACATCAGCAGGACAGGACTCTTTAAAGTAGAGACACTATATACACCTGAACATCAGCAGGAGAGGACTCTTTAAAGTAGAGACACTACATACTGATATACACCTGAACATCAGCAGGAGAGGACTCTTTAAAGTAGAGACACTACATACTGATATACACCTGAACATCAGCAGGAGAGGACTCTTTAAAGTGATGTACATTTGTTAGTCGTAAACATAAAATACTGCCTATTAAATATTAAAATGTAAATACATTTAGCTGATAATACTTCTGTACTTAAGTATAAGTATATATAAGTATATATTCAGGACTTTTGCTTTAAAAGTCCAAAGTAACTATACTTTCACAGAAAGAAAAAAGGAAACAGGTCATATGTAATTGATAATTGTTTACAATGGGATCTAAACTCTGTAAATGAAATCTAATCAGGTTTAAGAGAAAGCATTATCAACCTGTATCCACTAGGGGGCAGCAGATCTCCATCAGGCTGATTCCTCGATGACAGCGAGCTAGCCTTTACTGTTCAAATATAGATTTATTTTTGTCATATTTCTTTTAAACAAATTGCATTACTTATTATTTATTATTCAGAGAAAGCTGTAATGTTCTCTCTGGTAAGAAGATCAATTTCCAACAAAGCAATTTGGCAATCTTATCAATTCTAACTGTACATTCATATGATTCATAGATCAATATGTAGCATTATATTACATTACATTATTATATTATTATAGTACAAGGAGTACTTTTACTCCATTGAATATATGTTTCTGTTATAACTCTACTCGCCATCTTCATCATTTAATGTATTAACTCATCAATGCATCAATAACTATAATCTAATCATTATAATCCTGTGTACTTGTATTATGTTTAGATTCTAACCCTCTGTTTGAGGTACAAGCAGGTAGAATTACCCAACATAACAAAAAGTACTTTTTTTTTGTATCAAAACTTTGTTTATCTACAAGAGTAAAATGCTAATTGATGCAACAATACTGTTATCTAATAATGTCATATAATAGTACATCTCAGATTCAGAATTACTACTTTTGCTCAAGTAAGATATTGGACTTTTACTTGTAATGTCAATTTCATCTTTAATGTATTGGTACTTTGTTTTGTAAAGAATCTGAATACTTCTTCCACCACTGCATATAAGTACTTTATCACAGTTGTACTTCACTACATTATGAAGTCCAAATTAGACTACTTTTTACCAGAGGTGGGAGAAGTACTCAGGTCTTGTACTTGAGTAAAAGTAGAAGTACTCAGGTCTTGTACTTGAGTAAAAGTAGAAGTACTCAGATCTTGTACTTGAGTAAAAGTAGAAGTACTCAGGTCTTGTACTTAAGTAAAAGTAGAAGTACTCAGATATTGTACTTGAGTAAAAGTAGAAGTACCAGAGTGTAGGAATACTCTGTTACAGTAAAAGTCCTGCATTCAAAATGTTCCTCAAGTAAAAGTAGAAAAGCATTATCATCAAAATATAGTGAAAGTAGCGACAGTAAAAGTAGTCATTGTGCAGATTGGTCCATTTCAGAATAATAGATATGATATGTTTTATAATGATTGATCATGAAAGTGTTCTCAAAGCTGGTAAAGGTGCAGCTAGTTTGAATGACTTTGTATACTGCAGGGTAGCTTGTGGATTTACTCCAGGTGGAACTAAAGTCTGATTTAACACTTGATTATATTTCACATCATTCATCCACATCTGAGAAGTAACTAAAGGTGTTAAATACATGCAGTGGAGTAAAAGTACACCATTTATCTCTGAACTGTAGTGGAGTAGAAGTAACTGAGTATTCCTACAATGAGTATTAGTACTTGTACTCGAGTACTCTGCTGTCAGGGGGCGGGGCGTAATGCGCCACGCGGGGGGTGTCACTCAATTGAAGGGAGGAAAAAAAGAAAAGCGACTGAAGGGAGTTACCTCCCCGAGAAATGAGAAATGAGACCGGGCCGTTTTCCAGTCGGTGCCCTTTGCTATTAAACCAGGAAATCCCTAAAATTACAGGGGGCCAAAAGAGCCAGAAAACCAGTGGGACTATTCGGAGAGGTTTGCCCCGGAAACAGCACTCACACAGCGGGCTTTCTGCAGGAGGATCGGTCGGTGCATGTATCTCTGAGTCTGTGTGAGTGTGTGTGTGTATGTGTGTGTGTGTTTACAAGTGTTTGAACCAGTGCCACAAACGAGGGAAGGATAAATTCGAGGAAGGAAGGAGGGATGGTGGACAACTCGAGCAGCAGTAAGGCACAGATGGTGAGTCCTTTACATTTATCTGGAACCAGCTGTGAAAAGTCATTTCCCCAAAAAACTGAAGAAAACTTTGATATTTGACCTTATGGTAGGTTACTCTTTATACTGATTCAAACCCTTCTTTATGTCTCTCTGTTGTAGTTCTGCCTGTTTGACGGTTTCACAAACATCCATTAGTGAGGATGTGGCAGCCAGCTAAAGCGGAAAGGAGCTGGGAGAAGTGTTCTTCACTTAAATAATACATTAAATATAAAATACTCCATTACAGGTAGAAGTACTGCACTGGAAAGCGTGTTTAAGTCAAAGTACAAATCAGCTAAATGTACAGTACTTAAAGATTAAAAAGTAGTAATTATGCTGAAAAATAGCCTCCATGTGTCATTTATTACTATGCCATTATTAGATAATATGAGAGGATTATTTCATCAATTAGCATTTACTCTTGTAGATAAACAAGGTTTTGATTAAAAAACTATTTAAATTTGTAATTTTTTGGATAATTCTACTTTTTTGTACCTTTTTTGTTTATTTCTTAGAGAACCATTAGGTTAAAAGTTCACACAAAGAAGCTAAAGATTTCAAATACATGTAGTTGATGAAAAGTATAAAGTAGTAGTTGTAAGTATAAGCACTTCAAAATTGTACTTAAGTACATGTACTTAGTTACTTTCCACATCTGACATTTTTTACGGATTTATTTTAACTCTGGTTGACTGTTTTTGTAAAGCAGCTAATGCTAGTTTGAACAGGTATGTGAATGGAGAGTAGGGACTACATGTAATATAACAATAGGCTACTAGTATTTTTGCAGTACTGGTACAGCTAAACATGACTGTGTTTTTGTGTGCGTGTGTGCGTGTGTGCGTGTGCGTGTGTGTGTGTGTGTGTAGTTAATGAAATGACAAATAACGTTAGCATTTACGTTACAAGTAGCTATTTCTTTAGTAATAACCTCCATTCAGTTTCATTGTTGTGACTTTCCATGCATCATATCTTGCTATAATTTAATTATAATGTCAATTTGATCATCTTTTCAATTTAAAGAAGCTTGAACTGCTTTTTCTAGTCGTTTAGTTTTCGATTCTGCTGTATTTGAACTTCCTCCTGTCCAAAGTAATTGGCTTTCAAAGGACCATTTTACTGTCAGTGCTAAAACTCAATAGTAATTGGGACCAAATATTTCCACCAATGCTCTGAAAAAGGCTTTTAATGCTCATATTTTTGGCATTACAATCCCTTTACGATACATCATAGGAATACTTTGTTAGCATTTTCATGCTTTTTCTCACATGGTGATACCAATGTATTGTGTTTTGTTGGTGTTAAAGCATTTTTGAAGGACTCCTTTAAAGACATTTGAGGTTGCTTTCATTTGTTTGCAATGGTTGTATCTGTTTTGCAATGAGCCTGGTGACATTACTGTGGTATGTCTCTGCTTTTACACATGCTCAGGGAGTTATTGTACACATTCAGAGCCCCTACGTCACCTCAGTATACATATTTTCTTTGTTTATACAAGTATGGTTTGTTTTTGAGATGCTGAGGATGTTCCCACTCTCTCAGCTCAGGCCCTCAGTTCAAACATTGACTAAAGATCAAGAAGCTTTTACTACATGAAGACACGGTTGGATTATCCATGGTATTTTCTTATGTACAAATCAGACTCCTGGGTTTCTAGTGCAGCTTTGATTTTCTGAAGTGTGCAAGGAGCATGCATTTGTTCCTGTATAATAAGACTGTTAGAGTGACTGTGGTCTAATATCCTACAACTTTAAACTGAGTTGAAGTAAACCTATGAAGAAAATAGAAGCTATCTGTCCGATACAAATGATCCAGCGTTTTCAAAAGCATCAAAATGTGCCCACAATTCATCAAAATCAGTCCTCCAGGTGTTCAAATATGGCTATTTTCTGTTTAAAACTGCCATTTCTGATCCTGAAATTGGAAGAAATGGATTCAGCATCCTCAATTACTCCCTAAAACCACTCCAAAATTGTCCAAGCCATTTTCTTAACTGTTGACCGCATAATGCTAACTAAAGCTAATTAGCGCAACTAATGCTAATTGCAACTATAATGGTGTAATGACATTCAGGTTGATTTGAACTCTGGTTGACTGTTTTCCTCTTTAATTAAGATATCAGAAGTTATATCAACTTTTCCTTTGGACTATTTTAAAGCAAGCTTAATATGTTAAGGGGAGTAGTAGGGCTACATTTAATACAAAAAGACTAGTTTTACTATATGTTGCAGTAGTGGTGCAGCTAAACATTACTTTTGTGTGTGTAGTTAGTTACCTACCGAAAGAACAAATAACGTTACCATTTAAGTAACAAGTGGGTATTTCTTTGTAATAACCTCCATTCAGTGGCATGTTTGTGACTTTCCATGCATCATGTCTTGCTTTAATTTCATTCTAATGTCACTTTATTACCCCTACAGTACGTCATAGTCATATTTGTAGGTATTTGAATGCGTTCAGTGGCTTGAATTTTGTGACTCGTTTCTCATATTTGGATCCTTGTCTCTCCTTCTCCACAGCCCAGCATGTCTCAGGACGCCTCAGGAGGAGTGGGCTTCCCTCAGAGCGGCTCCTCGGGGGGCATGAAGCTGGAGGCCGTGATGGAGCAGCTCCAACGCCAACAACACGCCCGTCTAGAGATGGAGAGGAAGGAGAGGAAACTTCGTGAAGCTCACATCATGTACGCTCAACAAGTGGCCGCTCAGCAGGCGATCCTCACGGCAGCAAGAGCATCTGGAGCGGCCAGTTTCATGGGAAAAGCCCTCGGTGTTCCCGGGGTAATGTTGCCTCCGAGAGTGTCCAATCAGAGCAGCGTCGACTCGGAAAGAGAGGATGATGAAGATCGAGGAGGGGAGGAGGATGAGGATGATGATAATGAGATGATGGAGGGAGATGAAGGCAGTGAGGAAGAGGAAGGGAGTGCGAGTGGTTTGGAGTTTCTCAGAAAGCAGACCCTCGCTCTGCAGCAAAACGCCTCCAGAATCCCTCCTCGTCCGTTTGGTAGTTATTCGGCGTCCGCCCCTCAGAGATCTGCCTCTCCACCAATCAGAGTGAAGCAGGAACCAGATGAGGGTCTTTCTCCGGCGGGACCCCAATCTGCAACTTCCCCCAACGGACAGGCCGACTGGGGCTTCGACGATCAATTCAGACAGGTACGGGCCATGGCTTGGCAACATTACATTACACTAAGTGCACGCATCATCCGTAATGAAAAACTCAAGCAGCTACTTTCATACAAATACTTCAAGTCAAAAAGTAAAGTCAACTTAAAAAGTGTCTGGTGCTTGATCTGTATACTTGGGTGTAGTGATAGACCCTCTGCTTTCCTGGAAAGACCAAATTGAGACGGTCTTTCTGGGCGAGTAGACAACATTTAGAAATGTCCGATCTGTCCTTAAATCTAATGAGCTGCCAATCAAAACACGGTCCATTGTGCCCCAGATTAGTAATTCCTTTCACTGCCCCCCCCCCGTCGAGGGTTTACATGATCTCTCCGTTTACCCCCCGCTGTGAGCGTCTGTTTAATCTTGATTGAAGAACAAATCTCTCCCTCGGAATCTGTGTGAAACACTTCAACTCTCAGGAGACGGACGACCGCCGATCGGCTTTTGTGGCAAAAAAAAATCCTCCTAAGTGAGTCCTGGCAGAGAGCCAAGCTGGGAGAAGTGTGTTCACACTCCCTCAGTGTGTGTGTGGTGTGTGGTGTGTGTGTGTGTGTGGTGTGTGTGTGTGTGTGTGGTGTGTGTTTGGCTGGGATCCAGGTAGTAGAGTCAGAACTGTGGGTGGTTGGGTCAGCACGAGGATTTTGGGGCGGGTGGGAAGTTTAGATGTAGTGCACAGTAGCAACCTGTCACACACACACACACACACACACACACACACACACACACACACACACACACACACACACACACACACACACACACACACACACACATCCAAGTCCGAGAGTTTTTTCGGCTGCTTGCCAAGTGCACTTTCCCTTGAAGGTAAATATTGCCTCATCACAGTGTTACAAAATACTGGAATGCCAAGTGGAGGGGAAGAAGTACTTATATTTAGTACTTAAGTAAAAGTAGAAGTACTCAGAGCTTGTTCTTGAGTAAAAGTAGAAGTACTCAGATCTTGTTCTTGAGTAAAAGTAGAAGTACTCAGATCTAATACTTGAGTAAAGGTAGAAGTACTCAGATCTTGTACTTGAGTAAAAGTAGAAGTACTCAGATCTATAACTTGAGTAAAGGTAGAAGTACTCAGATCTTGTTCTTGAGTAAAAGTAGAAGTACTCAGATCTTGTTCTTGAGTAAAAGTAGAAGTACTCAGATCTTGTACTTGAGTAAAAGTAGAAGTACTCAGATCTTGTACTTGGAGTAAAGGTAGAAGTACTCAGATCTCGTACTTGAGTAAAAGTAGAAGTACTCAGATCTTGTACTTGAGTAAAGGTAGAAGTACTCAGATCTTGTACTTGAGTAAAAGTAGAAGTACTCAGATCTTGTACTTGAGTANGTGTGTGTGTGTGTGTGTGTGTGTGGTGTGTGGCTGCAGTGACAGGACATGCTGTATCTGAGCTTGATCTCTATCATGTGTCTGGGTTTTATTACTGGCTATTTAAAGGCAGATGTCTCTGATGGTGCTCCCCTCTCTAGAGCACATTTCCAAATGTAGGGAAGGAATTGTGTGTGTGTGTGTGTATAATAAGCTGTGCATGTAAAGTGAAAATTAATGCAAGTATAAATATACACGATGAAGTGTCCTTATTTTGAGTCATTATCATCAAGAAGAATTTTAACTTAACTTTAAATTAATTTCAGTTACAGTTTTTAGCTGTATTTGTAGCTGTTCTTAGCTAAACGCTAATACTAAATGTTATTGTGTGTGTGAGTGTGTGAGATGTGGAAGTCTTAATATAACTGTAAAATGTGACCCAAACACTCAAACATTAAATTAACAGAAACTCTGACAACTCTTGAATCTTCTTAAATGCTTTAAAAAAAAAAAAAGATTGTTCATTTAAATACTGTACAGTAGAATAAAATATGATTTATTGTAATAATATATGAATATAGGAACTGTAAACAGATGCAAGTGAACACAATTGAAAGAGATCATGAGTGAAAGTGTGTGTGTGTGTGTGTGTGTGTGTGTGTGTGTGTGTGTGTGTGTGTGTGTGTGTGTGTGTGTGTGTGTGTGTGTGTGTGTGTGTGTGGCTGCATTTTTATTAATATTGTATGTCAACGATGTGTCTCACAGGCGTCTGTTAAATTAAAAATAGAGATGTCCGAATGACATTTAGTACTTTCTGGTTCCTGAACTGTGTTTAAATAAATATAAATATATATATATATACCTTTTGTATAAATAGGTGTTGTAGTGTTATGTTAAATGTTTGTTCCCTTGTCTTGATATTTGTTTCACACTCTTGCTGTTCTCTGATTGATATCTCATTCAGGTGAATACGTGTGGGTTTGACAAACCAAGGCATTTAAAGACCTTTCCCTTCATTTGATCGACCGGATGGACTTTTTTGACCTTTTTTTGTATTGTATAGACCAGACGAGAAATTGATCATGAAAAATAAGCTGCAATGAAAAGTCCAACTGGTGCATCCCGACAGTCTGAAAAGGTCTGTTTGATTCTGCATAAGAGTTCATATCATTGGGTTTTAGACTGATGCAACCGCACGTTTAAAGATGTATGATCAACATGTCCACCAAGTTCCAAAGGATTCTTTAATAATGGCATTATATCCGATCGCTGCACTTACATACTTTCTAATACCTATACTTCAGCGTTTAAGGGTTTAAGGAAGGCATCTGATACTGGCCTCGTAGCTAACCGCCAGTGGAGTTCAGTTTGTTGTGTTTTGTTTGTCTTATGGTTCATGAAGGCGTCCGAGGAGTCTTCATTATTCTGTGAGGTGTTTTTTTCCGAGCAGAAGATCAGAGTTGTGTTTGACCGCCTCTCTATCTGTGGCTCGGTGTTTTATTTTATGACCAGGGGCTGTTGGGGGGGGGTCTGGGTCTGGGGGAGGCATTATGGGACGAGAAATGGCTCTGGCCTTTTTTTGTTGTGTTTCCTCTCTTTTATCTTTCCTGTCATTATGTCAGCTCTGCAGTATTTAATGACGGCTCATCTCTTCAGGCAGTTTCAGGTTTCAGCTGTGGGGGAGGGGAGTGTGTGTGTGTGTGTGTGTGTGTGTGTGTGTGTGTGTGTGTGTGTGTGTGTGTGTGTGTGTGTGTCATTGTCTTCGAGAGGCCTGGCAGATGCCGCAAATACCGACCCCCCCCCTCTTCTTCTTCTCTCTCCTGTAATAATGTAGGAGAACATTTATCATGATCTAAAAGCAGAGGTGGGAAAAGTACTCAAAAAAGTACCGATGCATTCCTGTCGAAAACTTCATTACAAGTCAAAGTACTGCATAAAAGCAGAGGTGGGAGAAGTACTTGTATACTTGTACTTGTGTAAATATATTTAACATGTTCATACAAATGCTCAACCTTTTGTCTGAATGCAGAACAAACATTCCATCACAACAGAGTGAATATATTCGGGTTTCGATGTTGCACATTGTTTGGGCTTTGAGAGAATCTGATGCACTTTTTTTAACAGTTGTCTGACTTTTTATTGACTAAACAATTAATAAATAATGAAAAATTATCGTTAGTTGCAGAAAAAGTGGGATCGGTGTGTCCCTTAAAAAACATATCCCTTAATTTAACCATTAAATATAAGAAAATTGATTTAACGTTTACTGCATCGTGTATTAATAATTGGTCCAAGGACAAAACTTTCGATGCAAAATGTGGATTTTAAATAATTCATTTTTCATTTAAACAGATTTTTCTCCACTTAATCAAATCAGATGAATATCCAGAGCGTGCCTCCCTCCTCTTGTCCTCCTCTTTAGTGATTTGAATATTGAGTGAGGGGTCAGATTTGGGGACACAGACAGACACGAGGAGCTGGTGTTTTCCTGTCAGTGATGAATGTGTGGTGACCTCAACCCGGAGTAAATAAATGTCAAACAACGGGACGACAAGGGCGTCTTTTTGGCCTCCAGGACAGAGGAGGCATGACCTCTGTAATCCCACCCTGACCAGCACTAACACCACCATCACATGGACCCCTCCATTCCCCCAGATAATCCCAGTGTGATTAATGGTTTTAATCGAGCTGTATATGGTGGCGGTGATCGGGCTGCAGATGACTGACGTAACTAAAGAAATGTTGTGTGGGTGTAACGATTAGAGCTGATATAAAATGTATTATTTTTTATGTTGTATTATCTTTGATAGTGTTTTTAAATGCCATTTTATGATATGTTTCTGAATGTCTGTCATGTTTGTAACGCCCTTTGAATTGCCTTGTGTTGAAAGGTGCTTATTAAATAAACTTGCCTTGCCTATTAAAAGCCCAATATGGAATTCTGCAACTCTCAAAATCCCAGTAAGTTAAATATCTGGAAAAGGCAAAATATGTGGAAAGAGTTAATTATGGTATTTTTAATATCGTGAATTTATTGCAAAATCAGTCAAAATAATAGCATTGTTACCAAATTGTGCAGCTGTTGTTACGATGAATCAAAGTAGATCTTCATTAGATCCTGGCACACTTTAAGATATCCCCAATTATTGTTTTATTGTCCTCAAAATCCATCCTGAATCTCAACGAAACGTGTGATTTGACTCTACGCTGCTGCAGCTTGTGTGAATGCAGAGGATTTTGGTTAAACAGGTTGAAGTTGTGTTTTCACACCTGGGTTATTGTTCCTGTGTGACTTGTCTTTGTGACAAGAGACGTTGGCGTTGTCTATATTTGCATATTTGTGATCGCAGAGAGAGATACCGAGACAAACAAACTGACACCAGGACTTCCCAGAGCTGAATAATAATTATAATACGTCTACCACGGATTGGTGGATATATTTGAGTTGTCTCTAACTATCCGCTGCTCGTGTGTTTTAATAAAATAAGAAGTACTTTATTGATCCAAAATTGGGAAATGTTTGCGTTGAAGCCGCATTAAAAACAAAGGCATTGCACATAAGGAGAAATTCAAAGAGTGGAAACTTCTCAAAATATACGAGTTGACCGTGAAGGTAAAAAACATTTAAAAAACAGAGGAATTTGACACGATGGAAGGGTCGATTTGACCC